AAAGAATTCTTATCGCGGCACAGCAACAGCGGACATTATTAATGGTGCCACGAGCAAGGGTGGCGTAAAGCTTCACATAAGTTCACGGAAAGTGAGTGCACCTAATGACCGTTTAGGATATTTTACTGAGCGTAGCCGTTAAGCGCTCTTTTAAGAGGGTAAACGTTCTCAAGTATATACATATACTATATACACATACATATATATATATATAGACATACAGGTAGCACGCGACATTATTTATTGAATCGCGAAAATGTTTCGCTTCCTGAAACATCAGTTTATCGAATTTTCGTAAAAAGCAGCAGCCCAGACGTGTCCCTTCGGCCGAGACAACTGAAACGCGCGCGTAGACGCAACGTCGGAGAATCTCCCATATAAATTGTATGAATAAAGAGGGGAGCGGGATGGATGGTAGACTGCGTCACGATATATATATATACACACTGTCTGTATCACCTCTCAGACACGGCTTACATATACAGTATACGTGCGAGGTATTTACATGCCGAGCCGTAGGTGTATCTCACGAGGTGGATTCTCGTGGAGAGGTCCCCGCGCCTGTACTTTCGAAACAATTACAGATCCTCGCGCAAAGATACCAGGCAGGTGAGTTGAAAATTTCCGAGAGTAAACGACACGGCGGCTAACTTCATGCAAACGACATTCAAATGTATGCAGCATGGTATTTCCGAAGTATGCTCCGCGGCAGGATCGACGTGGAGGGTGAGAAGGGACTCCAGGGTGGTTTTCAGCCGATTTTAAGTAATTTCAAAGAAAATTCATCCCGATAACGTGGATACCGCGACCGAGCGTCAAGGACTGTGGCAACGTTAAATATTAAGGATCGGGGCAAAGGTCGGTACCGCGACCCTTTTAAGGCCCTCAAACAGTATTAAAATTCAAACGGATACAGGACGACAAGGACCGAAAAGCGGATACCCCGAAACCTTCCTATTTCTATTTTGTTTTCCTCCTCTTTACCATCCACGTCGGAAACACAAGGAAGGAATAAAATTATTCCAAAGTATCCGAGAACCTTTTTCTTTGTCCCTCTCATCCAGCGTGGTCGTGCCGACGTAACTTTACGGGAGGGACCCGCGAGGGACAATGCGCGGTCACCGATCGAACCCTGGCAGATATAAGAGAGGGAATCTCATTCCCCCGTGTTTGATATTTCATGGTAACGCGAAGGCAGGGGATCGTGGGAGGACATCGGTGGGCCCATGAGGCCGGGGGAGGGTTGAAAACGAAACGCCATGGAATAGAAAGGAAGGGCACACGGGACGGAGAGCCGCGTCGGGGCGGCCAGGGAATATCGATTGAACATTCGCTCAAATATTTAAACGCTATTACCGGCGGCGCGCGTATAGTTATACGGCTGTACGCGAACACGGCGACCCGGTGGGTTCGGTTACGTAGGCCTGCGGGGCCTGGAACACGTTTCGCAGTTTACATCGCGGCGGAGTACCACGCCAGTCCGCGCCGACCCTCGTTTCTTGCGTCACCCCTCGGAAAGGTACCCCCGTAACGGCCCGGAATCCCCCTAGTGGTCCCTATGCCTACGGAAAGCGTCTTGAACGGCGTCCGCGGCTACCGGGGCAACGAGAGGAGGGGCAGAGAGACAAAAAAGGGTCATCCGCAAAATTGGAGGGACAATCGCGAGAGACAGGTGTCGGTGAAGTACAAAGAAAACGGATTCGCAAACCGTTTACGAACTGTCTTTGCCATTTGTTCGCTATAAGCACGCAGAGCTACGTAAACGTACAGTCCTACCTGCCCATATACCCAGAATACACCTCGTACTTCCCAAGTATATATATACACGCATATACGGCAGTCCAAAATAGATAAAGGAGTCTCACGTTAATTTGAAACTATTTCAAAGAAAATAGGAAAAACGGAGCAACCTGGTCCCGCGAATTTTATTGGTATCGATATGCGAGGCAAAGCTCGCGAATTGCAAATTCTCAACGTGCAAATGTTGGGCGAGGGATGGGACATGGCCCAAGACGGAATTCAGTAAGGGTGACGTCGGCTACTTTCCCAATTTCCAGTTCCGGCATTGAGAATTGCTGGTGCTGGGGTATAAGTGTCGGCTGTAAGTATCTGTGGGTGCGTTTTGTTGTGGGAGGGCTGGCGAGGGGGACGGAGAGGGGAGGTCACAAACAAATGCGCGAGTAAGCGAGCGAACAAACAAATAAATAGGCATAGGCGCTGATTGTATCGCGAGTCCCGTAATTGGCTACGTAGTCCTATGCCTGGAATGTTGATTGGCGAGATAGGTGCGGTGGAGGCGCTGAACAAATCGGACCTTCCGCACGACGGGATTAAGCCAATAAATACCAAATACGAGGGACGCCACTTTAATAATACCCTATTGCTCGAATCCAATGTAAATGATAGCGACGCGCGTGAGCGTTGCACGTGCCCGGACTAACGTATAGCGCCGAATTAAGTGCGTACGCGCGGAATGCGCTTTGCCGTATGGGAATATTAAAAGCAAACGGCGAAAACGTCCCGCGCGCGCCGACGATACAAGCTGGGATAACGTTTGAGAAAAAAAAAAAAAAATAACAATCCATAAAAAGAAATATATTACTCGAGTCGGTATCGAATTGTCCAACTGATGTTCAGTAGTGACGTACGCGTAGAGAACCTACGTATCTTTACGTACCAAGCCATACTAAGTGCACTGTTGAATCCGACTGGCCCAAACGGTACCTTAGAGGACTCGCGGTATAATGCCCACATTGCCCACAATGCCCACACAGCCTCAGCCAAGTCGCGTGGGTGTTTCCTTATTTACGATTATGTGAAATTTATTTATTTCCAAGTTCGCTCGCCGCACAATGAAGGTAATAACATCGGTTACCTCGCGTATCTTCGTGCCCGGTGAACGGGGCGCCCCGGTCGGGTTCAGCGCGGCCGAAAGGGCCGCTTGCTTCAAAGAACCATAGAGAGACACCACCAACTTATTACAATAGGAAGCCCCTGGGAACTCCTTGGTAAATCGTGACGGACGAATCGATGAAAACAACGGATAACGACGCGTAGCTATGGGAAATCGTGTCAGAAATTTGTAGAGGACAAAAAAAAATTATTTTTTTTACACCCATAAAAATATATACGGTCATTCGAAACGCGCGTGAGCGCCCATCACGACTCATCGAGCGTTAGAAAATTATCTGCTTTACTAAATCCGCGCGGATACACCTGCCTATATAGCTGTGGGAACAAGCAGTGGAGCTTTGCCAATTTAATGTTAAACGCGCAGAAAGAGGCGTCGGCTTCCAGCATGCGTTCATCGGTATAGGGGAGTGAGTGCGTGGGGCATTATGCGTGTATATATATATATATGATCGCATCCCTGTCAAGGGTGGGTAGGGTAGCGCGTGCGAACCGAGTTACAATCCCGTCTCGTCCGGTGAGCGCATTCATAAATTAATCTCTAGACACACATATCCGACCCCCCGAATTTACCTTCGTTTTAGTCCTCACTTTGGCCGGCTCGTTTATTAACTAACGATCGCGGCCCTCGCGCACAGCGCGCGCTGCGACATCTCGACGCAGCAATAGCGCCGAAACTTTTGGAGGCGCCGTTAATTATAACGAGCCCGAGCGCGGCGAAGCTTCGAGACCGAAAGTTTATGCCCGTAAGCACCGTGTATTCTCGTCGGTTGAAATTTGTCAAATTCCTTAAATATTTTCGCACCACACGTTATTCCCGTAAAGATTCGATGCTGGCCGATGGAATTCCCAAAAGGTAATAGCCATTGCGTACGCACGCCTTGGAATATATATATATATATATATATAGAGAGAGAGAGAGAGAGAGAGAGCACGTAATAAAAGCCCGAGTGATTCCCAGGTATACGGGAGTAATACGTAGACGTAGGTGCGGCCAAGAAATAGATAAGGAGAAGGCAATAAATTCCGTCTAGATTTCTAGTATATAAATACAATAGATATACTTTCCTCACGAGAGACACGCGTAAACGTAGCTTAATTAACAATTGTACAGTACACGAGGTATTGTCAAAGTGAATCATTAGGCTATCGGAACGAAAAGCTATACCCGCCTGCTTATCGCAGTGGCGTGTATCACTTTGTAAATTGATAATGTGGGAAAGGTGGATCCGGTTACGGGTCACGGAGAAGGGAGATTGGAGTACGAAGGAATAAAAAAATAAAAGTTAAAGGAGCGTGCACACGTACGTGCGTGTTCTGGATGTCTCTCTCCTCGGACTAGGAAACGTCGATGGGAACTTACTCGGAACGTGCGGCCGTGTCATAACGGCCAAGAAAAATACAAGTCGACTGGAGGGCACGTGGTGCTTGAACGAAATAGCACCGATATCATTTGTCAGCGGTGCTCGTAACGTTACCGTTCAACGTAATTGACTGTAATAGGACTACCTGTTACGTACGGTTACGTATATACGTATAAAATGAAACCGCTGCAAGATGCTCTTTTTTTGAACTCGCGAGAGAAAAAGCTCGAAGAACGATTGTTATTGTACGCGTAATAAAGGTCCCTTCGGTTGGCAACAATATAAATAAAACATTTCCATTAAATCATATTGTCCATAGTCTTCGGAGACTTTGAGACGGTATGTCGAAGTACTTGCGAAACTCGGGCGGGCAGTAACGGGAAAAGGAATGCCTGACATTGCGTGCATGTCTTATCTCGAGCCGCTACGTAATGCAACGAAATAATGAATCAAACGATAAGCTTTGGCTTCAGGCAGTCCCTACAGGTTTTCTACATTATCTTGTATTTCACGGAATTTCTGTATAAACCGTATGCGTCGTGCACGTGGAACTTTACAGGCGTGGACCGTAGTCAGGTGCTATACAACGTATCGCTTCTACGTGATCGTCCGGAACGTGTGTAAACGTTGCGTCATAGATATAACTCCCTTTCGATACGTTCGATATGCATCCTACCGGAAGTGATATATGCTAATGGTAAATATAGAATGACAAAAAAAACGAACCGGTGTTGTGTAAGGTTGACATGCAAGCCGGATGCCATCGTGTCGTAGTTTCTCCTGCAGCAGCATGCGTAGCTGCATCCTGGGGATCCTCACGAGTTCAGCCTTGCCCTCCTCGTACTCGTCGGCGAACTTGGTTAGTTCCTGACCGCCACTGGACGAACTGGCGGTCGGCGAAGCTCTCTGGATCTCCTTGTCGCTTGGAGGTCTTTCCGAGGACGTTCTGGAGGACTTGGAGCTCACGTTGTCGCACAGGCAATCGTTTGTTTCCTCCAACGTGAAGTAAACACTCGCGGCACCTTCCTCGCGCAACGTTTTCACAGACTGAAGCAATCGCGCCCGATGACTTTGATTGAAAACCCCGATGGCGTCCAGATCGGGATCCCCGATCTGTTTGCATATCTCGAGATCGTCGTATCCGTTGTCAATGAACGACTCCGAGTACTGGCCGAGGTGAAGCGAACGCAGCCACTCCACCACGATGTTACTCGCCATGGTCATTTCCGGTTTCACCCGAGACTCTCGGTCTCCTACCTTATTTACTTCCTTACGCGCCGTTTCTCACTGTTTACCCTTAGACGACGCTCGACGCGCGCGCCATCGGACGGGACATGGCTAAAGTACTCATTAACGTGACTATAGGGAATTATGAGCGATCGTATATATATCGCTACGATCTGACACTCCTTAATTTGCAAATTATTTTCTTCTTTTTTTCGATACCAAAGACCCTTGTACGTTAACGTACGACTGAGATTGCTTTGATCAGACACTTTTTCTTTTTTTTTATTATTTATGCTTGTTTGCACCGGTTAATTCGAAATCCTCCCTTTCTCTTGTCTCCACGCTTATCAATCACTGTTTAAAGTCCGTTCGCATGGGAGCAGCCACTTTTACCAGGAGGATATTCACTTGCTGGCACGTTCGATCCCGTTAATATAGCCACGTACGGTTCTCCGTTCATTACGGGTTAAGTTCGATGAAGAAGAATAGCGCGGGAGTGAGTGGCTGTGTTGAGGATCGTGCAGGAGAAGCAGAAGCTAGCAGAGTCTGCTGTGAGAGAATAAGAGAAAGATTAAGAAAAGGAACGTAGAGATACAATCGTCTCGGGTCGCACGATAGTTTTTTCTGATCAGTTCTCTATTTAGCCGGTATAGCACACTGAGGAGATATTCCCACGTTTGCTTTTATTTCATACTGGACCAAGTGGCGGCACGAGATCAGAGCCCCGCGATTGCACATGTCGAATACAATCAACGTGCATTCCGCATGGAAGGGAAAAAAACAATTATTTAAAAAAAAAAAAAGTCCAAATAAATCTATCCTCGATATACGAAGGCGTAGCCGAGTAAAAGCAAGTCTAGACAGTAATCGAGTAAACCGTGTTTCAAATTGGAAGAGCAATTTTCAACGTGCCAGGATTCCGTAACGCAAACCGATGAAAATGAATTTTTTTTTTTCAGCGGCGCGACAACACAGCCAGTAATATGAAATAACTGTGCTGAATTGCACGGTAGGTTCTGACGAAACCGTACGAAAATATTCAAGGGAAATAACAAAACAATAAACTACTCGCGATATGAGAATCGATAGCTTCGGAGCAAGAGACGCGCCAGCCCTTCGGCTAAATTATTTATGTATTCCTGTCTTTCTACTATTTATCCTTAGAGAGATCCTACGCCTCTGTACCGGCGCTGAAGCACTAAAGTCTCGACGTTTGCAGAAAACAGTACACTTGCTTACAACGGGGAACCCTTATTCACGCGATGTACAGACGGGCGTTCTGCAAGGATAATCATCGCGTGTCGCCAAGCGAAACGGGAAGAAAATCGAGAAAGACCTCCTTCCTCGTCTCTCAAACTATGGGTACACTCTCTACGGCAGAAACCTGTCGCGTTCTCCTCCACGAGTATTCCGTGCGTGACGAAGAATCCGGCGTAGTCACTGGCAGAGAATCAGTCGGCAGGTCTCAAATCAGCCAAACAGTGGGAGAAAAAAATAAATATCTCAGTTAGAATTGGTATTAAGCACTATCTCGCAGCGTGGCACACGAATATATTTAAATTATAATTAAATCCGTCGTTGTTGGTTATACACTGTACGTCATACAGATCAATGGCAGTTTACACAAATTCACCGCACAGAATCTATATTCGTAACTTATAACACGAGTAGAGCACCATCATAACCTCGTTAAGAAAGAACGATGCTCCCAACAGTACTGGTACATCCAGTTCCTGCCCCGTAAACACTCGCGACGATACGGCGGGTAATTCGAATCCGTGACGCCGTAACACCCTGTTTTTGATAAACTTAGTACCAAATTATTCGGCCGTGTATTTCGTTTACTATTATAACTGTAAGACGATTCACGTACTAACTAAATTCTTATGCACCCGGCTAGTTCTCCCTTGAACGCCGGACACCGAGTGCTCCGAACACGCGTCTCTCATAATCGTGAGAGAAATGTCACCGAGCAATGGCGCAGCGCAGCTCTAACGACACGACACTACCGCGACGCGGCACACGGCTCGACTGACACGAGACGCTCGCCAGAGCGAGCCACTCGCCTCCCCTGATTCCCCTCTAGCCACAGCCTATCCCCACCATACCCGCAAACCATCACTCTCTCTCTCTCTCTTTCCTCTAACCTCAGTACGATTCCCTTATTGTCCGTCTCTCTTTAAAACAGCTCAACTCTCTCTCGACTTCTTCCCTGTCTCTTGCACCTCTTTGCTCCTCTGCTACTCAACCCTCTGCGCTCCTCTGTTCGTCCCTCTTTCGCCAGCAAGGGCGCAACAGACGAACCTACGGCGCTACCCTTCTCCTGCAGATGGCGATTCCGCGGTTCCTACCTACCTACCTCCCTTCTGCCTAATACCCACGCAGTCTGTCCGTGTCTCAGGGATTTCTCCTACGCGTGGAATCCTCCCTTTCACAGGAAACACGCATATACAGAATCCTATTCGAGAACTGGGGCTTCAAAACCCTCTTGATAATAGTATAGAGTTTCTTATGTGGTATTACTCACGGTGTACGGGGCGAGGTGCCTTCGGAGCTGATTTCAAAGTTACTTTGCGAAACCGGCACCCTCTTGGGAATTGTTGCATCTACAGGTCACTGGATATATACATATACCGGACCTCTTTATATATCACGGTACAGGTACGTGACGGACTCTTCTCGCTCTTGGAAATTGTGCGTCATCACGACCCTCGCTACGTGACACCTCGACAATGCCAAGGGTGCGTTATGCAAATCGTTGAGGGATTCGATGAGAATGAAGTTCCTGGCCCTTTGGACGATAAAATTGAGATACACTAAATCCTTCGGACACGAACCTCTGTAATACTGCGTGGACTTGAAATCGGTACGCTATGATTTTATCAGGAGCTAGAATCATCCGGATGACAAATGCCGGTGGTTTTATCGTACATCTAATTTACAGCCTCGTAAAATATCGTGTCCGTATCATCGAACACTGTCAGAAAAGGGTGTTATACAAATGGCGGTGGACGTCAAATAAAGTCATGCATGTTTTATAAAAAAAATTACGACACTGGTCTGTACTGATGTTGGATGTACGTACATACATACACGTTACTATACTGTTTCACTTGATACTTTATAAGAAAAACCCCAAATCATCTACCGTTTTCTCACCCTCCAACGAATTCTATATTCCTCTGATTTTATCCCCTACGTAAATTATGTATGTACAGACGTATACTGTATAGCTGCACAAGCGTTAATACAAACGATGCAGGTAAACTTTATGAATACTTGAACGGGTTTTCCCAGCTCGCTGCATCCCCTGCTACGGGTACAGTACCGAACGGAAAGACTATGGAAAATTGTCGGAAAATATTGAACTCTCTTCTCGGTAGAGAACAGCAAATTAATATTGACGCGTACTGCTCGCCTTTCACTCGTGCCACACACCGTCCTAGAGAATTACTCGACCATAGTCAGGGACTAGGAAGGGTAGTATTGAAGGGGTCCTTGGTGTCCGCGGCACGCGATGTCATATCACGTTATTGAGAGCTACTTGTCGCTCCCTGCTTTCGTGCCACAGACCGTACGTACTACGTCCACGCGAATCATTTAATTAATTTTCTGCGAGGGCGAACGCCTATCGGCAATGCTTCTATGCGTAGAGACACAGAGACTGACGTATAGGCAATTTTACAATATTATTATCCACATATTTCTGTACCTTATAAAAATGCCCTTTCGATCGTAGCAAAGGGAACAAATCGTCCGATCGACTCCTAAAGTCTCCCATCCATCCTGGTCTATTTACATAGGTGCTGCGATGTCAGTGAACCGAACGTGTGAATCGGCCTTAAGAAATGGGTGACGTTACTCTTAAAATACGTACCTACTTCGTGACACATTTATTATTCAAGCCTTGATTTATAATTCTGTTGATTGTTATATAATAGGCCGTATAGCGTGCGGGCCATTTGACTGACGGGGAATTGGAGATTATTGGCCTCATGAGCTGCTTAGTTTATATCAGTGCTGTTAGGCGTCCATTTATAAATGCCACCCTTGCGACAATGGCCCTTATTGGGTTTCTCGTTGGGTGGCATTCAGCTAGTTGCGTAATACATAGCCAAGCTGGGCCAGGACTGTCCTTTCTGTACAACATACCTGTGATGGTGAACCGTACGTTGCTAAGTCTCTCAGAAGCAAAACTTAGGCATTAGTTGTTGCAGATGGCGCTGTCGTCTACGAATGAATCTAGGAAGACGAACATGGACCATGACGCATGGTTAATGCACTACTGTGCTGTAGCGTATCGTGTTGCAGGTGTACCATAAAAGGTACTGCTTCCGTACCGTGGATTTATTTAATTACGAGGGACTTTTTATTTCTCAAATGGAACGTCATCGTGTCGCCGTAGACGTCGTTGCGTGGGTCGCTTGATGACAGTTCGTAGGAAACCATGAAAACTCGCCATTAATCCTGCCCCTTGCTCACCATATACTTTATACTGGTAGAACAAGGAATTTGCATTCTGGAAATATCCCTTAGACCCTTTTGGAAGGTTTGGGCTTTTTATGGATTTCTTTTTCAGCTACCCGTACGTGTGTTCAAGGCGGATACACGTGTCAGGTCCGCAGTAAGGACAAATATATTTATGCGTGTTACGTACGAGATTTTGAATTTCGTGTAAAATAAATTGAAAATTATTCAAATGGGAGGGAGAGTCGAGAGAATCAAATGACTAACGAACTTTGAGAATTAAAATGCGACATGGGGGACAGAAGTGATAATAAAAACAAATAAGCGACCATGATTAGTATGTCGTTTTTCGGTTCCGCAAGTTTAGTATCATGGGAAATCTCGAATTCTCATGGTATTTGGGATTATGGTGAGCAGAGGTTATATCGACAACTAAATTATTGACGCCTTTTAGAAAAACTATTCCGGAGAGACTCGTAGGAGGAAATTTGGTTGGGACAAATTTTTGTAATATCTTTGATTCACTTTTTTTCGTATCAAGTTCGTTCTTTTTATTTCGACTTGGTTCTATACTATCCGTTCGGATAGTTTGATATCTCAGTGAATTCACGATAAAGACCTTTCTTTATTGTAATAAAGCTATCAGAATGACGGACACTATCCGCGTTTTCTGTTATTATTTCTTCTTATTATTCCAAGCAGTTATCCCGTTTCGCGCTGAAAAACAATCTTATTCCTTGAGCCGAATATAAATAGAGCGTGGCCGCGCTGATTAAAGGACTGAAGACCGTCTTTTGACAACAGAAAGTTTATAGAAATCTTTTAAGGGCCATAAAAGGTTTTACATTATTGTTGTTGTTGCTATACGAATCTTTAAATAAAATTAATAAATTTAAATATAATTCACCCAGTCTTTATTTGCAGTGCTCAAAAATAACCATAAGAATGAAAAAGTCGATAACTTGATACTTCCCAAATTTGACAATTCCTTTTCGACAGAGATCTTATCTCCGGAAAGTTAATGCTTACTGAAGTTTCAGGGATGAATGTTTCCTTCTGTCTTTCCGTCTTTCCTGCCTGGAAGGACGTAAACCGTAATTGTGGTCCGACTGCTCCCCGTTAGCCAACTCAAGCTAGAAGCTATTTTTAAGTCCGGTACAGTAGCGGCAGTCATGTATTATAGGATGTTTGACTATTTCAAAACAGCCAATAAAACCTAGAGACATCCTGTCTAAATATCAGGCGTACCATGCACAGTGCATGCACAGTGCATGTCTGCAACATAATATCGCCTGCATGTCTGCAACCAAAAGTTCAGCTGAGAGAGGATGTTATCATAGTTAAGGATCAACACGGTATTTAGACGCCCTATCTCCTATAAATCTATAAAGTTACATTATGAGAAATGACGACGATCATAAAGAAATATCCTAAAATGCCGACGGATGATGGTGGGAAGATAATCATGGCGTTTCCTGGTGAACCGACATGCTGATCGTAAATAATCGCTGACATTTCCATACAAAACGACAAACGAGCTACTCCCTAATGGACTAACATGCAAAAACGTTAAATTATTAGAGACTGAAGACAAAGAGAAAGGTCACTCTTGTTTATTTTATTTTTGATTCTTTCGCTGTGCAGGTAACGTTTCAAGCTATAGTAATTATTGATTTATCTAAATCTCTATTAGTTTGACATAGCAGGATAGTAGTTGATACATGGTAGTGATATGGAAACTATACAGGGTGGTTCAATGAAAACTACGCATCTAAATATTTGTCATAGTTACGAAAATTCGAAAACAATTTTGAAAATTCGAAAACAATTCGAAAACATTCAAAACATGTTTTGAATATTTTCAAAGGGGAAACACGATTTTATCGATACCTTTTGAGTGACTTACAGTAAGTTGGTAAGAAGTGCGTTCATTTGCAGGTGTAAACTATCTTGTTTATCTGAAATTTAAGAACACGGAGAAAGTTCCTCGGAAGAATCATATATAGAGTGTCCCAGCTTAGATGGATATTTGAGATTTGCGAAAAGGACAATGCACGATATTGAAAATATGAAATTTCGAATTACGCCTTGAACTATTTTTCGGATCCTTGTTAATATACTTAGACGTTCGATTTCTAAAGAATCACCCTGTATTTGTTAAATCATTTCACAGCGCTAAAAACCGGATCGTTTAAAAGGAGTAAAGTAACGAGGGTCTCAGCTGTATTTGTTAGTTACGATATTTTCGAATCAACAATTTCGTTATTTCCCAAAAGACCTGTAATAATAAATAGATCGTTCCTATGCAGGGAGAAAGAGAGAGAGAGAGAGAGAGAACTTTTCGGGAAGATTGAAATATATTTAATGGCATTCTTCCTCAGGGAGACGTCATTTTAAGAAGATATAAACATCAATGTTAGACAATACATTCTCCGTTACGCAAAATTATCATCGTCGGTAACACAGTTCGCTACGTTACCGACAGCATCGCTTTGGCGATTACCGAAAAAAAAAAAAAGGAGGAGAGATAAAATAAAACTCGTACTCGATATAGTAACGAGAGAAAAAAAAAGAAATAAGTAAATAGAACCAACCTATATTCACATACGGATTGGATGCACCGCGGTGCAGTTTTTTGGATGCATATTTACCAGCAGAAATATCTCACGTATTTTTCTGTGACCAGCATCAATCCCCAAAGAGCTTCAGTCGCCAGTGTATTCGCGAAAATTCAATTTCGCGAATACGCTGAAACGTGGCAAGGCCATTCGCGTGCACTCGTTATGCACGATACCCGGCCGGATGGAGTCGAGGCTGAAGCCAAGGGTGCTAAGAACGTTCCGGAATCTGCGTAATTAAGCAAATACCTACCAAATAAATTTACACCACTTATAAATCCTTCTCGTTAGATTAATGCTAGCAATTAGCCAGGTCTCCTAATGCTGTACATACTTCAGTCTCGTGCCTCTCGCCCTTTCGAAAATTAAACGGCGCCACGGTGTAAGCGCGCATTCTCGTTTAACCGTGCGGCAAATAAGCAAAAGAAAGAGAGCCGAAAAATATAGTATATATATATATATATATGTAAAGAAAACAAGAGAAAACAGAAGAAAGAAAGACTGGAAGAAAACGAGAGAAAACCAAGTCCAAATTCAAGCTCACCACCTTAGCTCAGCTTCGGTCTCGCAATCAGACCTATAAGTTAATTCGGCTCTCCTGCACCGTACCTTGGCTTTTCAACGGAGTCCCCATCGATTGCTGTCTGGGTTAATAATATCGTAACCTCAGGATGTAGGTAAAATGCGCTTCGTTTCTTTGGGACGTAAAGACAGGAAGGAAGCTAGAGAAAGAGAAGGGAATAAATTGTACGGATAGAGCGTGTACCCGGGAAAGCTCAGGTTAATTCAGAGGCCCGATGAAAGTCGTAAAATAGTGCGTGACTCCCTAGATCCGACCTTCTGGTAGAAGATACGTAGCTGAAAGCGGGTAAGGTTTCTCTTGGGCTGGTGGATACGACCCGGATAGGTTAGTTAAGGGTTACTATAGAATTCCCTAGAATCCCTAGATTCCTCTGCTCCTGGTTACTTTCGAGGATACGGCCGAAGCACGTACATCTTCTACGGCTACAGATGCGATTACGAAGACGGTGGGTTGGAAACTGAAAAAGTACACAACTGCGTGTTGGTAAGCTGGGTGGTCGGTTGTGAGGGGGTGGACGGAGGCTGGGTCTTAGATATATGTACGTACGTATATGGTATAGCTCACTATGGTACCTGGATACCTCTACCTACCCACCACTTAAGCCAAACTGAATTAAAACTTTTAATCTGGACCTCCCGAACTCTCAATAAAATATAAAGTAGGGTGGGAGGTAACAATATTTCACGTTAGCTATTTAACTTTTCAAAAATCTCACTTTTAAAATATATACATATATGTATATCTAGATTTAATTTTAATGCTCCGACCAAACCAAAGCCAACTGCAATGACGCCCTATAAAGGATCTATCTACATTTTTTTCAGTTGATTCAATGACGTACCAAATCGCTTTTTCAAATTTTTATCCTTTTTCATATTTCAAAGTTTGATCACCCATTCGAATATTATTGGGAAATATGAAACGAATGTTTCGTCGGTAGTAAAGAGCCGAAAAGGATCTTTTTTCTCGTCGGATACGTATGTATCCTGTATATTAAATATAGGATATTGTATAGTATATATGTATATATTATATTATATATAATATCCTATATACATATGTATAATATAGTATACTCTAAAGACTATAAAATATGTCGAAATTTTATATGCCCACTTTTCCATAAAAAGTGGGTAAAAATTTCATAGAAGTGATTTTATAATTTTTCTTTTTTATACAATTTTTATGAACATTTTTTTTAATGGAATCGAACTGCCGGAAAAAGATGGTGCAACGATTTTCATTTATATTTGAATTATAATTTATAATCGAGCTATGACATGAGTCCCATATTCAAAGGACTCTCTGACTCTTTAAAATACGCTGATCTTACTGCTGAATTATACTATTAATAGATTTTATATTATAATATAACGGTGGATTTGTAAACGTTTAGCATGATTAAGTACATGCGTTATGCAATACACAAAAATTTATCCTCGTATACAAGAATGTTCCCACTCGAAAACTCGTGGAAGTGAAGCTACTTTCATCTAAATCATGTATTATCTCTCTGTGACATTAAGTTGTGCGATTTAGAGATCAAGATTTCGGTCTTTATGCCAATGCCAAATGATACCTATGTATACATATGTATAAGTGATTTATTCGTTTTGGTTTTACCGGGTAAGATACATTCTGGGGTATAATAAAGATTTCTCTTTCCTAGAAATCATTATAGTATTGGTAAACGAATGAACGATATAGGAGAAAGTTAAATGAAATTTATAGTGCGCATCAAATACTGTTATTGATTCACAGAATTTCACATTTCGTGGTGGTAACGCCTAAATGCTTGCGTCTCCAGCAGCCAATAATCTACGTTTTTGAAATTGATCAATTGATTTTAAGAAATATTTCGTTAAGTCGGACAAGTTAATGGGATATGGTTATAGCTTTTTTTTGAAAATTCTCTATTCGAAAGCAGCAAATTATCATAATATATCGATTGAACCGAAAAGATGCTGCGCGCCATAACATTTTATGTCTCAGCTTAAAGATGGACCATGAGCATATTTATGTAGAGAATATGGCGAATTAAATATTAAAACTTATTTTTAGTACTGTTGATATGGCAGACCATAAATGTACAAATAATTATGTCTTGCTTAAAGAATATGAACCATAGAAGGCAATGGAAGTAATGTAGGATTTTATAGGATTCCGTACTACTGGTTTATAGCAAAATATAAAAGTTTTATTATTTAGCAAGGTACAAAACACGCGCTTCTTCTTTCACCACTCCTGTATTGCAGACCGGATTTAGAATTTCTTAGATGGGACTGGGTAAGAGTATCCGTCGCTTCCACCTGACGAAACTGACGGGACACCGTAAGATCCACCTGATGAAACTGACGGGACACCGTAAGATCCACCAGAGGATCCGCCATATGAGTTACCAATACTGCCCGATCCCAAAGAGACACCATGAACTCCACCATAGCTGCCAGATCCAATGGAAAGACCACTGTAGCTTCCTGATCCAAGAGAAACTCCATGTCCAACCAAATCGCTGGATCCAACAGATCCTCCGTAAGATCCATGAGATCCTCCATAAGATTCAAGAGCTCCTCCATAGGATCCAATAGATCCAATTGAAGATCCGAAGGACGCACCATGAGATCCAATAGATCCACCATAGGAAATACCATTCAAAGCTTCAGCAGATACGCCACCGAATCCAGATCCAATTACTTGTCCGTGTCCAAGACTGACAGGAACGGCGACGGGTTGAGGAATGTTAACAGGTACGGGGTGTGGAACAGAGACTGGAACTGGGTGAGGAACACGGACTTCAACGGGATGAGGAACTGGTACTGGAACAGGACGGTTCACGTGAACAGGGTAGGTCTTGGTGACTTGGACAGGATAAGGCTGAGGGTATGGAACCGCTACTGGTCGCTTGACTTCGACAGGAACTGGATGAGGTACTGGCACTTTTACGACGCGCGTAACAGGAACTGGATGTGGAACAGAGACAGGAACCTGCACAACGTGGTTCACAACATGCCCTTGAATCGGCTGAGTACTGGTGCTAACTGATGCGCTTGCGTATGCACTGGCTCCAGCACCGCCAACACCGCCAACACCGTTTCCAAATCCAGATAGACCAGAGTATCCAACACCAGATCCAAATCCAACTCCTGAACCGTATCCAGAACCAATTCCAGATGCATATCCAGATCCATAACCGGAACTAACTCCAGTGCTGTAGAGACCAGATCCTATACCGATTCCAGAAGAGTGTCCAAATCCGCCACCATATCCATTAACGATTCCTCCGGAGATGACACCGCGCTTTTCATGTTTCTTCACCTCGCCAGCAATGGCCGAAACAGCCAAAAGGCAAACCTGCAAAATCAAATTTCCAAAATTTTCTCCTACCCTTCACAATTCTTACCGCGTCCAATATTGAAATACAAAAAATACCCAATTAATTATCAATCCGTACAGAGTACTCGTAATATAACAAAACGAATTTTTTTACTCACTAAGAAGGTCCTCATTTTCGACTTGTTATGAGGAGTGGTCCAAGCTGAATGTGCCGTGTATGAAGGATTCTACTCTTTTTATATGTTGGTAGGACGTCAGACTATAACTACTTTCACTGCAAGGCCAATCCAACACGCCCTGTGATCTGGGGCTGGACCATCTCATTCTAACCTATCCGATTCTCCGCTTTAACGTAACCGTGCGACGACATTCGAAAGGTGGCCGCCGTAACCAGCAAAGGTAAACGAGTACCTGAGAAGAGGAAAAGGATCGGTTTGTTAATTATTCTAAATACCGGTATATCATTCAATTCCTTTTTATAATATTCCAGATAGCCAAATCGCGTGGCATGCTAATCAGCTCGTCTTCGATTTCAGTAGAGAAAACCTTTTACACCTGTTTCAAGACTTTTTCATTGCATATATAAACGATAGCTATATTTTAATAACGCTGTTGCATATTCATAAGACATTACTTCCAATAGAACTGCTAGAATAGAAATGTCATTCTGAAAACCAGCGTAGGACTCGAACGGTCGAGCTATCTCTGTAACACGTGTCGTGGCCCAAAAGTAGACGAGGTCACTTTCCGTATTCGCTATTCTTTCTGCAATTTTTATTATTTCTTTATTCCCATTTTATTATATCCATATCTGAATTTAAAAAAAACCCACTAAAAACGGAGTGCTCCGACCGCACTGCGGTTGACTGACATTTTGCGTACGAGTGCGGCTCCCAGTGAGAGGCTCGGATGAAGCGTGCTGTTACCTAACCATAAGGATCGACCAGATGTTAATACAAGAGCAGCGTACCGCCACTCGCTGAATCATAATTACTTTTTGATACAGATTCCCATAGGTAAGTACGCGCGACGACCGACCACAAAGTCTCGTTAAAAGGATCCCTGTTAAGATCACGTAATCGTGACTGAGTACGGGAACTACCGGAGCATTCTCACGTGTAAAAGCATTTTAGTATCAATGCTCAAATATTTCAGGCTCGAGTTAACTGACCGAAGCAGTATGTAACAACAAGAAAAAAAAGTCAACCACTTCCCGAATGAAATTCCGCACGAGCCTCGATGCCACTCCAAAGATAATCGGTATCGTCGACAGAAGGAAATTTCATCTCTCTTAAATTGCGAGATCTTTCTATATCGTACCACTGTACACTGTACCTACGTATATTCCTATTACATCTATGCCCACGCCAGTACGAGTCGCTCTGTAGCTATAAGATCGTCAATGTGGATACGTATTAAATTTTCAGGTATACCGTACCAAAGTGCATGAAGCTTACCCAAGACTCTTTTTCCTCCAAGTTTTACGAGAAGCTCTGCATCTCTTTCTCCATTTCTCTTTAGACTCTTTCGATATAAGCTTCTCCGTATATATCGATTTCTAACACTGGGTGATCGTTCGTATTAATCGAGCCATCCATTCATCGCGAGTGGGATAGTCATTAGTTGGGTCCCTGCTGGAAAGTAACTGGCGTAGGAGGGGGGGGGGCGAAATCGATAGAATCTGATATATATGTGTGTATATATAGATATAGTACCGCTATTTTGGTGAGTACTGGTAATACGGAATTTACAAATGACACGTGTATATCTGTACACGTGGCTTGTATATATATATATATATATATATATATATATATATATATATATATGATTAAAATCAATGCCGATTCTGTACAAAGTAAACGTTATGGATGAGGATTACTAAATTTTGTATCGTCCGACTCATCAATAACGCGATTCAAGGTTCAACTTGACAGAGCTGTCAATATTCCCTTATCCTCATTTCAAATAGTGGAAGAGGGTTATGGGGAAACGGGAGCAATCCCTTTTGTCTCAGAGAGCCAGCCCTTGAAATCCCATTGAGAAATCGAGCCCTTTTTTCTCGTTTACCCAACTAGAGGAAGGGACTGCTAATAATATCCGACGGGATATCCTGAATCTTCCATTCATTCGTATATACGATGAGTCTTACCGGCAACATATTATGGGACGTAAGAATAAATTTATTTTCTAATCCATAAATAAAAGTATTAGGCGGAATCTGGATGAATATTTAATACGAGAGATCTAATAAAAAAAAAATACATGTAAAGATCAAAGAAACTGAAAAATACTTGAAAAGTAATCTCGACGTACATACGTATCTCGACGACGAATAATATTTGCAACAATGAAATAATAATCAAGAGTCGATAACTGGTAAGCTTGTTATCGAACTAAATGCTATGGCTTTATAACATTAGCCAAATACGCCAGTAGTTTAATTCAACCGTCCAGTCTGAAAGATCTCTTCCGCTGAACAAAACGAACTATTCTCCTTGGGTTACAAGTGAAAGGAAAGAAGAAACTTAACGCAGAGATCCCTGGCAAATTCGCTTTCGCCCGGAATCGTCAAAGAGATTTACGACTCCCGCTCGAGCGAACTTCGGTCCAGGTGGAAATGTGGATGATAATTTCTTCCATTTTTATCTTCCTTTCCATCTTTCAGCACAGAGCACCCGACAACCGGAATATCGTATACCGGCAGGGTTCATATGTACTGTATACCCATATACACACGTAAATATAGATATATATTCATGTATAAAAAAATTTAGAAAAACTCTTGGCCGAATCTACGCAGACTTAAGTGCCAGGAGGATCATCCAGACGTCGAGACTCTTTCGTGAAAAATAATTCTTGTCGCGAGTCTCCGTTGCCTAACGAGCGTGAAACAAGCAGCGACGGGAGAGGGTACTAAAAGAAAAATATTTTCCAAAGGAAATGAATTCGAGAGGTGCGAAAAAGGAGACTTATACGTTTTTATTCCTTTGCTCCGTTTCCTTTGTTCTTTCGATTGTTATTTTCTCGTAAATTCAGTTGCGCAACAAAACCGAACACAATGATACATGTACGACGTGAATGCTTGAACTTGACTATGGTTGTATTTTTCTGTATACATTATATGTATAAACTCGCTTCCCTCCAATATAGCTATGTAGATCGGTTATATATAGATATACTCTCGTATATGGAGGCCCAGAGCCTCGTTGCAGAGGGCACGTGCTGCTTTCCAGCCCTCTCGTGGCCTATTGATTTCTACAGACGTAGGAAACCTCGTGGACGGATTGACGTGAGACTTATTGTTAGTCAGAGTGCAAGGGTAGTTTACTCGGGCGTCGGATGGCCAATTCAGCCTGTTTCAAGAGCGCCTTGAATCGCCAGTAACAAGATGCACTCCATTATAATCGTGATATCGTACTGGGATCGGTATTCCGCTATGGTGAATTACGTCACGCCGTTCGCAGAAACGTTATTCCCGTCGTAAATTTAACCGTCACGCTCGTGTTGCTTTACGATTTAAAGCGAGGGTGGGAAACGGGTCGTTTCGCGACCCGAAAGAACTACGAGAAAGAATTTACTATTCGACAAAGTCAATTTTACGTGTCAGGCATTTTTTGTTTGTTGTCTTTTCTCATTTTACTCCTCTTCCCCTTACGTTCCCATCTCTTAGTCGCTGCTCCCTTCTCCCTGTTTCGGGAAGTGTATATATCTATCCTTGTTTGACGTATCAACAAACAGCGGCTCATGATCATACTCCTGATCATACTTGCTGGCTTAACTGCATATACGGATGTAAATGAGGCGCCAGGAGCAATTCGGGGAAAGAGTGCCAGACCGAGTGTTTTCACTCGGCTCCTTTTCTCTTTTTATCGCGTATGCATCCACCGACTCGAACGGAGACTGAAGTTTTTCTAAATTGCCACCAATTCGCAAAACTGCTCCATAACTAAAATGAATCCGCGGGGTGGCGCGAGACACGACGTGGAAAGCGACGAACTTTCATCGGTTGGTAATCGCATTAGAGGGGACAAAGAGGATGCTCTTAAAATTGAAAAGTTTCGAGTGGCATATCGCAGTCCCGCTATGCGTATAGAGACTAGGAAAATCTTTGAGATCTTGTGAATATCTTGTGACGTATAGCATTTAACAAAAAAAAACAATCTATAGTATACACTGCACGCTGTCATCGACCACGTAGCACATTATGTCTGTACTGTGGAATAAGAGAATTTTTTTTTCTTGAAAAAAAAAATTTTGAAAAAAATTTATCCTATGACGTACGCTCGATATTTGTATACCGATCGCGAAAGGGCATTGCCTGTTTTTGCGATAGAATGCGAAATCGCGATCATTCGACGCACAATGAGATTCGATTTAAAACTTTTTTTCTCGGATACCCTAAAAGCCAACAGCAACGCGATAAGGGAGGAACGAGGAGCCATTGGCATTCGGCCTGTACGAAAGAGGATTATAGGTACGCCGAGATTCGATATCGTGCCACGTAAACATGTTACATACTTTCTACGTCGCTTCCATGCAAAAGCTATTAGTTCGTCATGTCAAGTGTCGTTTGTTTCGTTCAAAGGAAAAATATATTGACTCCCCATTCGATCGTGCACAATATTAATTTATGTTCTCGTTGATTCACAGTGATTTTTTTTATTGACTTTTTCCACGATGATATGACAATGGCGTATGTATGCACGTGATGATCGTTGTACCAATCGTCATGATTTATGATGAAAATTATAAATCAGTCGATCCAGTGTAATAAAGTGAATAAAGTATATTTTGTCGTCAGAATTAAATGTCATGGGCGAGTCATTAATACGATAATAATCATGATCATTTATTGCTGACGATGTAGTTTCGTTGTCATCTCATCAGTCTGATTACAAAAAAATTATAGTGACATTGTAATTTATTTCAGTATGTCATGTGCTATCTACCACCTGGTCCTGATTCACTGAGGGTTGAACCTTCGAAATTGAGAGGTTTTCGTGACGCAACTTGTCCCTGAAATTGTCAAGAACGTCGTGCGTCGACTTTATCTGTCCTCGAATTACCTTACTAATTAAACCCTTCGGTAACCCATCGTCTACCTATCCTCGACTAATTTTATAAAATTCTAGACGTCTACTTTGGCAATAATTGCAGCCGCATAAATCCGAAGCAGCCTTTTGAGAACTTTGTATAATTTGATAAAGAAGATAAACAATGTTATTATTATTGATTTATCGAAAGTTTCACGGGATGAATCGGACACTTTGAGAGCACTTTATAAATTTCAGTAAAAG